AAATAAATAAATAAAAGAAGCCCACCCTCTTCGGTGGGGGCGGGTCTCTGACTTTGCAACTTTAGCTTCCTGGACCAAACTGGACCAAAACCTTAGTCTTGCCTCGTGGCCTATCGTCCGCATGTTACGCCCGTCTGGGTCATACACGGGTGAAGATGATGCCATGGTACACGCTAAGGATGGAGATGTCAGTCAACCCTAATGCCACACTGCTTGTCATGGAAACAGGCCAAGTATGCCATGGAAAGTTATACACAACCCTAAAAGGTAATGTCGTTTTTATTAGCTACATCTACTATTTACAAATTGATAAACTGAGAGAATTATCACTATATATTTTAATAAATCTTTACTTCATGAAAAATAAATAAACCACAAGAGAGAGAATGCGTAAGGCTCACGCCTTTCCTACTATGACGAGGATCCCTCCTCAGCCTCTTCTGTATCTTCCCTCTCAGTAGTGCCTTATTTCACACAGAAGTATACAATTTTTTGTTGTCAACTTTTACAACTTTTCCTTCAAGGTTTCTCTCATGTTTACAAAGTCTCTAATGCTTAAGTTTAGTTGCATATGTTTTCTGCCACTATTTTTATGGCATCTTTAAAAAGAAAAGATGTAATCTTCCTAAAATTGTTCTGTGGTTGTTTCTGCTTTTTCTTTTTGTTTTCAGTGTGGAGGGTGTTTTCATCTTTTTTTGGTTTTCTCAAATGGATGACTAAGTGCCCCCAACTGTATATTGAAGAGCGTGGGGTGGGCTGAGCCGTCCCGCCTCATGGGGGCTGTGTGACCCCTTCCTGCCTCTTGAAGCACATAGACTTGGCTGTGGAATGGGACTCGTAGGGGCCACCTGGAGGTGGACAGTGCAGATGGAGTGTGAAGTGGCCCAGAAAGCCTTAGCAGGGGGCCTGGGGGCACTGGGAGCTCAGAGACACACAGAGGCCTCTCTCAGGCTCCTCGTAGGATCCCCAGAAATAGATCCAGGAAACTTCAAAATCTCCAGGGGGAGCTGCAGCTGCTGTGTTCCAACCAGGGGCCCCGTGCAGGCCCTGTGCTTTGCAGAATCCACCCAGCATGAGAGGGAGCCCTGAGGGGGGCTGGGCATGAGCTGTGAGGCCCAGGGCTTCTCGGCACAGCATGCGTGCAGGGCCCTGGGGATCGAAGACTCCATCTCTGCACCCCTGCCTGTGGTGCCAGGCTCCCAGTGCTAAGGGGCAGGGGCCCAGACCCGACCAGCATCACCAGCCAAGAGTGGCAGGGCCCACTGTGGAGTGGGCATCCCAGCACCACGGAGGGGCCTGACCCAATCTGAATGGCCAGGCCGACCACCGGTTCTGATTCTATGGGTCTGGGGTCTGGCTCCTAGTTCCCTCCCCTCCCCTCCCCTTCTTCCTTCCTTCCCTCTATCCCTCCCTCCCTCTCTGCTTACACTGAGGTGCTGGGGAGGTAACCCAGAAGTATCCCAAGCATGATAGGCAAGTGCTGTACCATAGAGCCCCCCCCCCCCCAGCCCCTGGTGGCATTTCTGACTTGCTCCCGAGGAAGGTCCATGCTGTGGGTCCTGGGCCCCTCTTTGAGAACCAAGGTGGGAATCATAGGTTGGACTCATGCCCCCACCTGTCCTAGAGGCTGCGCTCCAGGCCCTGCCTGGTGCAGGCCAGTCCGCAGGCCCCCAGGACCTGAGTGGGATATGCAGTAGCTCATCGGAGTCCATGGGACCACAGCTTCTGATCTCTGATTTCTGGTCACCTGGGGCAACAAGTGGCCCCCTACCTCCCACCGCCTTTCTGGAATGATTCTTGGGAGATTACCTGGTACCCCCGGTAATCAACACCATGAGCCACATTTGTCCATCTGCTTCTGTGTTTCCATGCTCCTGAGATTTCTATTTAGGGTCGGGGTTTGGAGGACAGGTGCTGACCCTGTGTCAGGATGGCCCTATGGTCGTGTGCGCTAATTCTCAGCCCATTCTCCTGCAGCTCCAGCCAGTAGCCCAAGCCTCGCAACCTCAGAGGGCGCAACCTCACTTGGCCTGAGTCACTCGTCCCCTGCTGGGACTGCAGTCACCCCACCACCCCTGCCACCTGCACCAAGCTCCCACCACATGTCCCCAGAGGCGACAGATACAAGCATACAAGCACGAGCCAGTCCTGGGCGTGTGGCCCGCTCTGCCAGTGACCCCATCTCCTGCACATCCAGCGAGGCAGGTATGGCTGTCTGAGCCCACCTATGTCCCCAGGGTACCCAGCCGCCAAAGCCCAGTGCTGAAGGGAGGTGGGAGGTGGGTGGCTGGGGTGGGGGACTGCTGTGGTCCTACTGGGGCTTCACTCTCAGGAGGAAAATGCAAGAGCTTAGGCTGACAAGAGCCAAGGGGCAGGGGCCAGCCAAAGGGCTCAGCAGATTAAAGCACTTGCAAGCAGGCTCAGGGCCAGGGGTTCAATCCCTAGGCCTGCTGTGCAGCCCCCCCCCCCCCCCCCCCTGTGCTGAGACAGCACTTGAGACTGGGCATGGTGGCACGTGCGCCTGTAATTCCAGCTCTTGGGAAGCTGTAAACAGGCAGATCACTACAAGTCTGATCTAGTAGTAAGACCCTGAACACCCTGTAGACCCTTCCCTAAAATACAAAAAAAAAAAGAGCCGAGGGGAGCAGGCCCACCCCAGACACCAGCTGTGAGTGCGGCGCACACACACCGCAGGGACTGTGAAGAGCCAGGGTCAGGCCAGGGCAGCTGGCCACAGGCGCCAATTGGGTTGGGGGCAGACCAGGTGTGTGCCAGGCAGGGCTCGTGGTACCATTTCAGTTTGCTGTGTTTGGTCTACAGTGTGTGGGCACCTCCCTGTGTGACTGTGCCAGCGGGCATAGGGCCTGGCACCAGAGTCCCTGTGGCCAGCAGCCCAGGAATTTACAATTCATACCAGCTTCCTCAGGAATCTTTGGCACCCTGCGGGTGGAGAACCCACACCACATCCTTCTCCACTACTGGACTGTGAAATGCACAACTTCATATACGTAGTAGGGGAGTTGCGTAGTCGCTGCTGGTAAAGACTGGTGGGCCAGCGAGATAGCTTAGCAGACTAAGCACCTGCTTCGGCAAGTGCAGGGACTGGGGCTCGATCTCTGGCACCATATGCAGCACCAGCCCCGCCCCCAGGCCGCGGAGCCAGTGACTGAGACCAGGTGTGGTCGCACACACTTGTAATCCTAGCACTGAAGAGGTTAAAACAGGAGGATCACTATGATTTTGAGCTGCATAGTGAGACCCTGTACCAAATACATTAAAAAAAAAAAAAAAAAAAAAAAA